TAGCCTGTTGTGGGCGTGAATGCATAAACGTCATGCGATAATGAGTCACTGGCCGCTTGATCAACTGCTTGTCCAATAGCAGTTCGTAGTAAGATTTCGGAAACCCCATGAACGACACAGTGCGTTCATGCCGTTGCAAGCGTTCGGTGTTTCCAGGGTAAACAAACGGTTCTCAATTTTTCTGTGGGCGGGGGGTGCGCAGTACGCAGATTCGACCAACTAAAACCCGTCTGGCTAACCGAAGTCAAGTGAAAACTCCGTTTTTGCCGCAAGGGGCGCCATAACTGCGTCTTTAGCGAGCTCCTAAACATAAATGTTGTGCTTTACTCTGTGAAAATTTTAGTCTAGCTTTAAATAGATAACCACACCCTTGTAACTCAAATTCAAAAAGATCTGCAGAAAGGAGTAGTTTTTTTCATTTGCTACAAAACCGATTCATCTAAAATTTAGAAGCTTAGATTTACAATTTGACAGAAAATATTCTTTGGGATTGGGAATTGTATTGCAAATTTTCGATGCTAGCACACTAGGTCGTCGTTGTCGGAGTTGAGGGCAGTGTGTGAAGAACAGTACACATTTTTAAACGTGTCTCTTTACCGCTTATTGATTTTCGTGTATGCGTGTAGAGGCGGACCTTCCTATTTGACCACAATAAATTGCATCGCAGTCGCCGCAAGGAATTTTGCAAATGACCTACTATTGTCCAAGGATGGCGAACCAGTATTGATTTTTCGGCACGTTTAAAAGTGCGCATTGTTCTTCACACATTACTCTCAAGTCGGACGACGGCCTAGTGTGCTGGCTTCGGAAATATTTTGGGATGCCTATCTTCAAATTCGTACGAAAGACTTACAATTCTCAAAGGCTCAGCTTAAATTTAAAGTAATTTCCTCAGAAGGGTTTTTGCCAACAGACGTACTATCTAAGTACCTGTCTAAAAGCTTTGCCAATAAGCTTAACTGTTATTAATGCTCCTTCCATTCCCGTTTTGTATGCAGATGTCGTCAGTCCTTGGTGCAACTCTCTGAGTAACTCATTTAGATTTCGGCTGATGATACACAGTTTGCCTGGATAAAACATTTCTCTCATAATGTTCAAGGAACAGCGATAAAGGCAAATTTGAACGTAGCGCTGGCTTCTAGCCTATTAACCATCCTCTGTCGGTCAAGGCCCATATATAGACAGAGGAGGTTCGAATTTGGAAACTGGCTATTATACACTGTATCAATGGGCTGCTGTTTTGCATATGGATCGCGGATGAAAGCTACAAGGTAGACCATATGGGGCGGGTCCCTTTTTGAAACGGGATCAGTGAACTTTCACTCGTAGCTTGCACATGAAAAAATATATTTTCCTTTGTGGGGATCACATGTAGATACGAAAATTATATTAGTCTTTGCTGAAAAAAAATCACAGGAAATCTCACTGACAGCAGCGGAAGACTTACTCGTGTCGCAGTGTGCATTGAGGAGTTAGTTTGAGATCATGTGCCTATGAGGAGAACCAGCACTTACAGCGACAAACGACGCACATGAATGTAACATGCCGTAAATCCTCAAAAAAGAACTCCATGAAGTTAACGTGATGTGAAAGCTGCTGCTACTCGTCCTGTTGAGAAAGCCCCAGCAGTGATCTAAAATTATAGAAGTGGTGCAGAATATGCAGGTTGGTCTATGCAGAAAACAGTGGGTTTAATTGGGGGAAATCAATATAAGTACGGCTGTGCTCCGGGATTCAAGTCAACAGCAAATTCTGCCCTCCAAGAGCAGATGGATAAAAACTGGATAAAAGCCTGATAGCTTGCAGAGCAGGGAGCAACCTGCTTTTTGGCTGTATTAAAACTGGTTGGCTTGCAACAATTGTATGCGTCATTTGATGGTCCGTTTAATAAGCAACTGACTCAGTGGATTGATGTGTAACTCGACTGAACTGGACTTTGCGAATGGTCAGCGTTGTTAGACCCTGTATGAAATACCTTGCACTTACAACTAAAGAAAAGTTCGCGAAATTGATGCGAAATGAATCTCGTTTGTTTATTTATGCATTTTCTTACCGGCAGGATACCGAGATGGTTAGATGTGAGAGAGCGGAAGGTAAGGCAAGCCATGATGTGCTTTGGGCCTCAAAACATGTATTTGCTCGGAATAGCATAAAATTCTGATTAGCACACCTAGTTTCGATCGAGGAGACCTGAGCCTCAGCGGTTAATTAATTCAGCGTCACCTCTGATTAAAATGAACATCAGTAATATTACCAGTACTACAAAATCTCAGCTACATTGCTAATTAGTAGTAGTAGAAATAGTAGTGGCAGTAGCACTCTCGGTCTTCTTGAGTCTTCCTTGACACCTACTGAAGGTGAGTGAGGGTAGGTACTATGGTAGTACCAGCGCAAAGTCTACTGCCACTTAAGAGTAAGTTAGGCGGTGTTCTGGCCTACAGTGGAGAAAGCGGCAAACGCCTTATCCCGTTTAGTCTTCTTGACCCCGGGTGATGGTGGAGAGTGTGGTTGGCA